ACTAAAAAAAAAAAAAAACAAAATTCACACTGAATTGCAGCAACAAAAAGGCTACCTACACGAGGAGATAGTGTTTAGTATTTTCTCATTTTACAATAGATATAATTAATTAATGTCCTCCAGAACGAAGTTATTTTTATTATTATTTATGTTGCGATAACGGATGTGTTGCGTCAAGATATGGAGTATTTTATCCCCTTCACTGACGCACGCACCGGTAGCAAAGCTCGCCCATGCTTTAACGCTGAATTCGCCCAAGCTGAAAAGCGCAAGCATTTAGCGTACTCTATCCTGGGTTGACGCTCGAAACAACAAAGCTCCGGATATTAGCTTCAAGAAGAGAACTTTCAAGCAGGCCACCAAATCCTACAAAAAAGCATTACGGAAAGCTAGTCTCGATCGCATTAAACATATTGGCGCAAAACTCTTTGCTAGAACATTTGGCACTAGAGCATTTTGGTCTCTCGCCAAAGCGGTCGAGACAAACTTGTGTGGACCTACACTGAATCCGCTGGAAAAAGGAGATGGCTCCCTGGCGCATAAAGCCAAAGAGAAAACGGAGTTGTTCGCGTCTCTTTTTGCTTACAATGTCTGGACAGTGGCAACAACGTTCCACCTAAATTATCTCACTGCGGGACCTCTATGTTGAAGGTTTGTATAACAAATAAGAAGTTTCTTAAAACCTTGCGATATCTAGACGTGAATAAAGCTAGTGGACCAGATGGTATTCCAGCTATAGTTCTAGAGGCTTGTGAACCTGAGTTGTCTCCTGTGCTGACACGCTTGTTCCGCCTCTTATTTAGGACTGGAATAGTGCCAGAATCCTGGAAGCTGCCCAACGTGCAGCCTGCATACGTGCCGACCCTGCCAATTATTGGCCAATCTCAATTACCTCAATGCTCTCCAAGATTATGAGGCGTATATTGAACACCCGTTTAATGGCATACCTAGAACAGAATGACCTCCTTAGTCACCACCAATACGGGTTTCATCGAAATCGGTCAGCTGGGGACCTTCTAGCATATGCCACACACGTATGGGGCGAGGCACTCGAGAATAGTGGGGAAGCACTTCCTGTTTCCCTTGATGTCTCGAAGGCCTTTGATAAAGTTTGGCACACTAGTCTTTTGGGTTAGCTTCCAGCGTACGGCTTACGGTATACGGTCTGGTTGAATGGTTAAAGGACTTTCTGAGTGAATGTTCTCTCCGGGTCGTCGTCGATGGCTGCTCATCCGATCCTATGACGACTAACGCCGCTATTCCTCAGAGTTCCATTCTTTCCGCAACTCTCTTCCTGCCGTATATTAATGATCTGCTTATGCCCGATATCTATGGGTATGCAAACGATAGTATAACCACGTCCGCGGGCCAGTCGGTATCAAATCCAGTCCGAAAGAGAAGCTATAGTAGAGCGCGTGAATCTCACACTACATGCATTTTTCGAATGAAGCGATGCCAATATTGTGAAATTCAATGCCTCCAAGACACAAGCGTGTCTGTTCACTGCATAAAAGAGGCAGCTCACCTTGGCTGCTTCTTTCCGAATTGTGTCACTGGAATATACCGACCGCCTTCAGTTGTTAGGGTTAGAAATATTCTCAAATCTGAACTTCGGGTGGTTCATTGAGTCCAAGACCAAAGCAGCTGCAAAGAAGCTAGGAGTCCTTGCAATGGTATGGCGATACTTCACGCCGGGGCAATTGCTTACTTTATATAAAGCGCAAGTCTGGTCGTGCATGGAGTATCGCTGCATTATTTGGGCTGGTGCAGCAAAATGCCACGTAGAAGCTTTAGACTCAATGAAAAGGCATGCTAAGAGGCTTATTGGTGACCCGAATTTAGTTAACACCAATCTTACCAGCCTCGAACATAGCAACAAAGCAGCCAGGCTTTCGGTTTTCTATAGGATGCATTTCAGAGAATGTGCGTGGGAATTGTGTAATTTAATTCCTCCCTCTCCCTTCCATCATCGGAAAACCAGGCGTTCGGCCAGTCTCCACCCTAGTTAGTTGTAGACTTATCACGCATTCGAACCAAAGGTTCGTCAGGTCGTTCATCATGCGTACAGCAATGGAGTGGAATAAGTTGCCAGCATCTGTTTTTCCATCCGATTACAGTGTGGGTGTCCTCAAGGCAAGAGTGAATAGGCTTTTGTTAAGTCAGTGCACTTCACCATCTTAGGCTATATCACGATTTACCATCAGGTGGGACTATAGGTAAGCGCTGGCTTAGTAGAATAAAAAAAAATAACCTCTACACTACTCCTGTATCGTGGGGGTATTTTACATACATAAATTTGTCTAGTACAAACATAGGACAAAGACCTGGAACAATTATTTGTAGACCACACATATACTTGTTCCGTGTGGGACAGGAACCTGCGGCTCTTAGCGCTGCAGCTCATTGGTAAGCCACTGAGCCACGAAGCCATCAAATTGAGCATCCATAACCACCAATACAAAAGCAATTGTTGGAGTACTGGAAGTGCGCTTCAAACCAGAAAGGTAAGTCATATCATTAGGGTTCCGTAGTTAAACAACAAGGATTATATATAGTTTTGCCATGTCCCACTCAACGACCCTAGGTGCTACAAAACTGTAATTTAACATAGTATTACGCACTTGGGGTTCGAGACAATTAAAAACTGCCGATTGAATTACCAAAATTGACACTTTCATTACACAACACTAATTACAATCTAAAATCACACTAATAATAAAACACAGTTCGCCGTTATTTCGCTTCGAAGTATTCTCTTGTATCGCCAATTCAATACTGCCTCGGTCGTGGTCTATACCGGCCTTATATAGGGCCTCAGATAGTTTCCAGAATCTTCTACTGTAGCGACATCTAGAATGTTCGAGTACATATTGGTCCCGAAATTTCTGGAAGGATCTTGACTCTCCTAGTTCTGCTACTCGACACTAGAGGGCGCTAGTGTAACTAGTGTTGCCATGTACAAGACATTAATAGTGGCGCGCAATACTTTCATTTACTCGACACTAGGGGGCGCTAGTGTAACTAGTGTTGCCATGTACAAGACATTAATAGTGGCGCGCAACACTGCCCCCTCCTAAGACATGCTCGTCCCGAGCATTATTGGCCCCATAATAACGCGCCAGTCGATCCACATGGACAATCTTAGGAGTATCTCTGGTACCTTTCTGTATTCGGTAGGTTACATCATTGATCCTTGTCACAATCCGGTACGGTCCGTCCCATTTAGCTTGAAGCTTAGGAGATTTCCCTTTGCTGCGAACTGGATTGTGTAACCACACTAGTGAACCTTCATCAAACCCCTTGTTGTTCATTTTGCGGTCATACCGTGTTTTCATCTTCTCAGACGTTTGCTGGCCCGTCTGTCGGACGTGCTCATAAATGTCATTCATTTTGTTCCGCAAGTCATTTGCATAATCGGTTATACTGCGTGGGGCATCAGGTGGTATTCCGGTGATCAGGTCTGCAGGCAGCCGTAATTCTCTCCCAAAGTTTGCGAAAGCTGGCGTCACTGACGTACTTTCGTGAACAGCGCTTCGATATGACAACAAAAACGGTTGTATGTGCCTGTCCCAGTCTCGTTGCCGTTTTTCCACAACTTTTGCCAGGTACCTTTCCAATGTCTGATTAAATCGTTCTACCATTCCATCAGATTGTGGGTGGTAAGAAGTTGTTTGTGTTTTATGAGTACCCATAACTCTGCAAGTTTCCTGGAATATTTGAGACTCGAAATTCCTTCCTTGATCGCTGTGAATCTCTAAAGGTACTCCAAAACGACAGAAGACTTCATGAACTAGTTTATCTGCAATTGTTGAAGCTTCTTGATTTGGAATGGCGAAGACTTCTGGCCACTTAGTGAAGTAATCCATCACAACCATGAAATACTTGTTACCACTTTCACTTTCCGGAAACGGCCCCGCAACGTCAATGGCTATCCTCTCCCATGGTGCACCAACATTGTACAATTTCAATGCGCCTCTACTACGAATTTGAGGTCCCTTTACAGCCGCACAACTTGTACATTTGCGGCACCAGTCCTCGACATTGTCACGACAGTGGACCCAGTAAAACCGTTCTCGGATTTTCAGTAGAGTTCGTTTAACTCCCAGGTGGCCTCCTGAACAACCACTATGGTACAGCTGTAGAACATCCGGTACTTTAGCCTTAGGGACAACCATTTGCACAGGACTCCATCCTGAATCAGCAAGCTGTCCCATTGGGCCCAATAGCTTTTCGTGGTCGAACTCATTGCTGAGACGTCGCTCCACTTGGGCTTAGGAGCACTGGCCTTCATCCATTCCAGAATCGGCTTAATATCCGAATCTTCCTGCTGTGCATGTTGTAGGCTGTCCTTCCACTCATTGCTGAGCTGGTCTGTCCTGAGCATCCTCATAGATACCACTTCCTTACCCTCTTGCCTAGTACAATACTTGCAATCTCCAGGGCAAGGTCTTCTTGACAATGCATCTGCATTGCCATGAGATTTCCCGCTGCGATGTTCGATCACAAAGTCGTATTCCTGCAGTAGTTCAATCCATCTCGCAACTTGTCCTTCTGGATTTTTGAACTGCAATAGCCATTTCAGTGCAGCATGGTCAGTTCGTAAGTGGAATTTCCGCCCTAGAAGATATTTGCTAAAATGCTGCAAGGACTTTACCACAGCAAGCAATTCGCGTCTTGTGACACAGTAGTTCCTTTCCGGCTTTGACAATGACTTGCTGAAGTACGCTATCACAATCTCTTGGTCACCATTCCGTTGAGACAACACACCGCCAAGTCCTATATCACTTGCGTCTGTGTCAACTATGAATTCCTTGCCCGCATCAGGGTACCCCAAAATAGGTGTTTTGCACAGACGGTTCTTGAGCTCCTGGAATGCAATATCGCAACTTTCATCCCAGCAGAAATGTCGCTTCTCCTCGGTTAGCTTGTGCAGAGGTTTGGCTATATCTGCAAAGTTCTTCACAAATCGCCGATAATAAGAGCACAAACCCAAAAATGCTCTAACCTGTGTCTTGTCTTTTGGAACCGGCCACTCCTTGACAGCGGCAATTTTTTTCTGGATCCGTGCGTATACCTTCTTCCGACACTACATACCCCAAAAAACTAACTTGCCGTTTGAATAGTGAACACTTCTTTGGACTCAACTTGAGGTTGGCACTCTGGATCTTCATGAGCACGCGTTCCAGGTTTTGAAGGTGTTCCTCAAACGTACGGCCTACGATGATGATGTCATCCAAATAGACCAGACAGGCATCTCCAATTAGCCCGGTAAGTACAAGCTCCATCAATCTTTCAAACGTTGCTGGAGCATTGCACAATCCAAACGGCATGACTTTAAATTGCCACAGACCCTTTCCTGTGGAGAATGCAGTTTTCTTCTTGTCCTTAGGGTCAATTTCAACCTGCCAGTAGCCACTTTTCAGGTCCAGCGTACTAAACCACTTTGCGCCTGTGAGCATGTCCAGCGTGTCATCAATTCTAGGCAAGGGATAGCTGTCCTTCTTCGTAACGTCGTTCAGGCGGCGGTAGTCAACACAAAACCGCATGCTGCCGTCCTTCTTCTTTACCAGCACCACAGGTGAACACCATGGACTAGATGAAGGTTCAATAACACCATCCTTCACCATTCCCTCAATCATGGTTTCCACTTCCTTTTCACGTGCTACAGGCAATCTTCTTGGCAGCTGACGAATAGGCAATTCTTCTCCTGTGTTTATTTTGTGTTGAACTAAGCCAGTCTTTCCTATATCATCTTCGTTTGACGAGAAAACATTGGCGTACTTGAGTAACAACTTCTTCGCCTTGATCATTTCATTCGGGGAGAGAACGCTGCGACAGTCTTCTAAAAGTGTGGTCACTCTCGTTTGTCCATCCTTGCGGAGGGTCCCAGTCGATAGATATTGGCACCGACGCAACCAATCCACTTCCTCACCAATGTGCCTTTTTCTATAATCTGTTCCTGATCACAAAGGTTCAGCACACGTACTCCTGAGATGTCGGCGGTTCAGACCAAGGTTCGAGCCACTATCCACGGAAGGTCGTTGTCTACCCTTTCCACGAGCACACAACGAAGAGTTTGCCCAGGATTCCGAGGCAGTCTAACCGGCACAATCGTATTCGATCTCGGCGGAAGAACAATCTTCTTAAGGCTGTACACATTCCCTGGTAACGCCCCTTCCACGAAAAGTTCCTCTTGTCCACATTTCAAAACACCTTGCTTAACGTCGATCTCACAAAAATTCTTCCTCATAAAGTCTAGGCCCAGGATGCAGTCGTCCATTATATCAGCCACGAAGACATTATGCAGGTAGATCATGTTGCCTAGCTTCAACTCCATCTCCTTCTCTCCACGGACGGGTAGGCGCTGACCAGTGGCTGTTACCAAATTAATGCGTTCTCGGTTGTATGCGGAGTCCCCAAGAAACCGACTTATAAGTTGGGAACTGACAACCGTGCGAGAGGCTCCAGTGTCTATGGTCAGTTTACACGGCGTTCCGTTGACTTCGCCCTTGATGATTAGGCTGTTCCCATCATGGGTTTGTGAGATCGAAATCCTTGGGGCTCTTTTAACATCAGCCAGCACCCGCCCCGCAGTCCTGGCTTTTACTCGTTTCCCTGCTGCTGCTGGGCGGTGCTATTAGCCGCACTACCCTCTCGAGATCGATCACCTTTCCTTTCTACAGTTCGCTTAGGGCAGCTGGATCGAAGATGGCCCCTTTCCCCACAGCCGTAGCACCTAGGGCTGTAGCTTTTATTGCGGTCCTGAACTGTAGCTGCTGCAACCTCCCTGACGCGGTGGGAACGATGATCCTGCCGCACGGCTTCCACCTCCAGTGCATGGGTCAAGGCGTCCTTAAGCGTCTCGTGGTGCCCGAGCCTCACAGCAGCTCTGACTTCAAGGTCGCGGATGCCGTCGATGAATGTCTGCACCAGGTTCCCTACAATAAGCGCAGGTACAGACTGGTACGCCTTTCGAACCAGCTTCTCCACCTCAAGGGCCCACTGCTGCAGGTTTTCGTTACTGCGTTGCACGCGATCTTTGAGCTGCGCACGAAAGACGTGTTCCAGGTGAGCATCACCATATCTCGCCTCCAATGCCTCAAGGAGCTGCTCGTAAGTCACTTCCTTACCGAGAGCTTCCAGAACAGTTAAGGCCTGGTCGCGCAGGCCTAGGGTGAGAACAGTCATGGCCTGACTTTTATTCCAGCCGTTCGCTTTCATGACAGCCTCGAACTGGATTTTGTAGGCCGACCAGGAAGAAGTCCCGTCGAACGGTGGCACTTTGAATCCACGTAGCGAAGGTGTTGTAGGTACTACGGGAGCTGTAACTCCATCCCCAATTTTGAGGTCGTTCAGCGTTTTCTTCACGTCAGCCATCACATTGTCAACCCGATTGTACACTTGGTCGATTCGGGTTTCAGCTTCCGACAGGCGGTTGTCATATTAAGCAACCTTATCCTTCACCTCACTTATTTCTTTCCCGAAGGTAGCGTGAAGGTCCTTCATGAGAAGTATCTCCTCTTCCTTATAGCGTTTAAGCTGCTCTTCCAACCGACGGCCCTGTTCCTCCTGTTGGCGGGCCTGTTCCTTCTGTCCACGCTGCAGCTGCTCTTCCAACCACCAAGCCTGTTCCTCCTATCGGCGGGCTTGTTCCTCCTGTCGGCGAGCCTGTTCCTGCAGCATCATCATCAGAGTACCTAAGTCAGGTGCTGCAGATGCAGGAGCTGCTGACGGGCCAGCCTCCGTGGTCGGCAACTGGCCTGCCGACGTCTGTGACGTTGCACCACCAAATCGTCTCTGGTCCGTCTCCTGTTGGCGTTGACTTCGGGTACGGATAGCCTCGGTGTCGTCTTTAGGTAAAATCGGCATATTTGTTCCCACTTCTGACACCAATTGTTACGCACTTGGGGTTCAAGACAATTAAAAACTGCCGATTGAATTACCAAAATTGACACTTTAATTACACAACACTAATTACAATCTAAAATCACACTAATAATAAAACACAGTTCGCCGTTATTTCGCTTCGAAGTATTCTCTTGTATCGCCAATTCAATACTGCCTCGGTCGTGGTCTATACCGGCCTTATATAGGGCCTTAGATAGTTTCCAGAATCTTCTACTGTAGCGACATCTAGAATGTTCGAGTACATATCGGTCCCGAAATTTCTGGAAGGATCTTGACTTTCCTAGTTCTGCTACTCGACACTAGAGGGCGCTAGTGTAATTAGTGTTGCCATGTACAAGACATTAATAGTGGCGCGCAATACTTTCATTTACTCGACACTAGGGGGCGCTAGTGTAACTAGTGTTGCCATGTACAAGACATTAATAGTGGCGCGCAACAATAGTTTATTATTTACCATTAATTTCATCGTTAATCACGCCTACAAAGTTTTGAAATAAAATCTTGAAAAACATTTTTATTTTGGGTACTGTATGGGACCAGGTGATTTTTTTTTACCTGTTTACTCCATCGCGTAGAGTGTAATTGCAGAAAATATTGGTTTTATGGAACAACATTTTTTAGTTTCAATGGTCCGTTTGCGAAATATTTAGTTATAAAGTGGTATTTTTATTAGATTCATGTTTGACCACTAGGGGATTATCTGAAAAAAAAAGTGAAGCTTATTGAAATACCGTAAGTCTGCCGCTCACTGGCTAAGAGCCAGTGAGCTATAAATTTAGGGTTTGACAAGAATCTATTAATGAGTTTTTCTGACAAAAAATTCTCAGTAGCATCTCGGAGTCAGGAGGTTGGCGATATTTAGACCGCGTGGCTCGGAAGGCTGATCTCTGATCTGACCTCTCTTTGGTTGTATCGAATTTCCCAGTCTGTGTTTACGCACACACTCGTGCAACTATATTTTTGTCGTGATCTGCTCATGACAGAAATATAACTAGTGTATTAGACTAGTCGCCGTGCATAATTACATTGTCACCCCTGAGAACTTAGATGAGATGCTTCATTGCGTACCAATAAAGTGTGTTGCCGGTTCTCTACACTCACCATACAAAACACAGCTGCAATATGTTACTATTTTACACTGATATTCTGTTTTATTTTTGTTTAAACTTGTACATAAAGCAGGATTAATGCTGAAATGGAAGTCAACCTAATTGTTTATTATAACTAGACCCCTTATTTACCCTTATCACTTTGCCTCGCATCTCCCTGGGTATTCCATGTCTTTCCGTTAAATGTCTCCTCACTGTTGCTGGTTTTGCATAAGTAGATCCATATTTATTACTCAGGTACACATATACCCTGCGGTGGACATTATTAGCGTGGGCTAGCATTTCACTACGCTGATAGAATTTAGGAAGGCACTGAGTGCATTGTATTTTTTTAGTCCATATGATAACATACATTTTTTTCCTAATTCCACGTCTCCGGAAAGTCAGTCCGCATTTATCGCTAGTATATACTTGCGATAAAATTTGATTTAATAGAGCACGAAAGAATTCACACGGGAGAAATCCCGTGTGAATTCTTTCGTGCTCTATTAAATCAAATTTTCTGGGAGCTTTGAATGAACAATGCTTAAGCTCGGCCTGTACAGGAAATCCTTTACCACAATGTTCACCGAAGTATCGGCAACCATTGTGTCTCTGCATGTGATAATGATAGTTTTTGGGACGAGCAAACAGTCGACCTGATGGTTTGTGGATGCTGGGCCCATAGATATCCACATCTATCCTCGACTATGTATCAAAATTAATTTGTGTTGTTTCCAGTTAAAAGGGTATCTAGTTCTCTACACTCACCATACGAAACAGTTGTATTAAGCTGCTGGTTTAAGTTGGTATTACGTGAAAGCGTGGTCTTACCTTAATCGAGCCGATCCATTCGTGCTACCGCAATAATATATGATTTTATTGATATTTTTGTTCCAAATAAGAGAGAAACATCTAAATCAAGCTTATACATATGTGTATTGTAATAGGCGGGGGAGGGGGGGGGGTAATATTACACTTGGGGTATGACAGAAACTGACTAATCTCACTGGAAAAGAATCTAGGCTACTAGTCTAGTAGAGAATCCCGCTTCAAAATTTAGCCAACCTTGTCTGTAACTCTTCTGAAATAATAAGATAACAAAGCAGAAGCATGCACACGTGATTATTTTGTTCTTAAATTTCAATGCGGAATAATACATTTTCGCAGTATATTAACTTTTACTAAATGTATAAATATTACATATAAATAAAATTGAAGTTTCTGCTCCTGGCTAATCTTCGGAATTTTGAACCGATTGTCATGAAACTTGACGATTAGACAAGAATCAATGTCTGGAGTTACCTAGGGTATATTTTATCTGAATAACGATACTAAAATAAATGTTTTTCATGACTATCTATCTATAGAATGCCATCTCAATAGATTATATCTAGACGAAGCCAGGGCGAGTCGCTAGTTATAAATAAATTAAAAAAAATTAAAAATTGTGTAAAGCCTATCAAAAATAACAAACTACAATTTATTGTCACTCGAAACAGATAACGTGGAATTTGCATTACTTCGGATTACGCGGAACGCCTTCAACTTGTCTTCAACGCAAATTACCATAGTTTATAGACCTTATAGTTCGGAAACGAATTTACTTGCGCCTCTGCGCTCTCTACGGT